CTCGTGGGATGTTTCGCGGGGTGGCACGACCACGCCCCAGCACGACCACCCCCCCAGCACGACCACCCCCCAGCACGACCACCCCCCCAGCACGACCACCCCTCAGCACGACCACCCCCCAGCACGACCACACCCCAGCACGACCACTCCCCAGCACGACCACACCCCAGCCGACCACACCCCAGCACGACCCCCGTGGTTGCCTGTCGTCGTGGGTTTCGTGGGGTGTCTCGTGGAATGTTTCAAAGGGTGTCTCGTGGAATGTTTCGCGGGGTGTCTCGTGGAATGTTTCGTGAGGTGTCTCGTGAGTGTCTCGTGGCGTTTCGCGGGTGGCACGACCACGCCCCAGCACGACCACCCCCGGCACGACACACCCCCCAGCACGACCACCCCCCGCACGACACGACCACACCCCAGCACGACCCACACCCCAGCACGACCACTCCCCAGCACGACCACACCCCAGCACGACCACACCCCAGCACGACCACACCCAGTCGCACCCCCGTGGAATGTTTCGTGGGGTGTCTGGTTGAGTGGTTGCCTGTTCGTGGGGTGTCTCGTGGAATGTTTCACGGGTGTCTCGTGGAATGTTTCGTGAGGTGTCTCGTGGAATGTTTCGTGAGGTGTCTCGTGGGATGTTTCGCGGGGTGTCTCGTGGGATGTTTCGTGAGATGTCGCCCAGTTGGGTATCGTGAAAACGTGACCATGCTGCACATGTCTTTATCCCTTTCCGGGTTCGTGGGTCCATCATGTTTTTCCCGGAAATTCCCTGAAAGGGCATAGGCCCAGGGTTCTCTTTTAGTATGTAAACAATGTCCCCGTGCCCAACTTGAAGGAGGCCGGCGGATTCTTTCCCTGATAAATATCGAGGTCGAAGGAGGCCGGCGGATTAAAATTTGAGGATGTCTCAGGCGAAACGCTTGTTTTTGAAATCCCGATCGATAAATCACAGGGTGCGGGACACCTCAGCACGACCACACCCCCAGCATGACCACACCCCAGCACGACCACGCCCAGCACGACCACGCCCCAGCACGACCACACCCCAGCACGACCACACCCCAGCACGACCACACCCCAGCACGACCACACCCCAGCGACGCCGACCACACCCCAGCACGACCCGATCGATAATCGCAGGTGCGGACCACCCCAGCACGACCACACCCCAGCACGACCCCACCCAGCACGACACGCCCCAGCACGACCACGCCCCAGCCGACCAGCCGCACGACCAACACTCCAGCACCACCCCACCACCCCACCCCAGCACCCCCACCCTAGCACGACCACACCCCAGCACGACCACACCCCAGCACGACCCCAGCACGACCCCACCACAGCACGACCACACCCCAGCACGACCACACCCCAGCACGACCACACCCCAGCACGACCCCACCCCAGCACGACCACGCCCCAGCACGACCACGCCCCAGCACGACCACGCCCCAGCACGACCACGCCCCAGCACGACCACCCCCCCAGCACGACCACCCCCCAGCACCACTCCCCAGCACGACCACACCGCCTTGGTTGAGTGGTTGCCTGTCGTCGTGGAATGTTTCGTGGGGTGTCTCGTGGAATGTTTCGCGGGGTGTCTCGTGGAATGTTTCGTGAGGTGTCTCGTGTAATGTCTCGTGAGGTGTCTCGTGGGATGCTTCGTGAGGTGTCTCGTGGGATGTTTCGTGAGGTGATGCCCACTTGGGTATCGTGAAAACGTGTCCATGCTCCACATGTCTATATCCCTTTCCGGGTTCGTGGGTCCATCATGTTTGTTTCGCTCGCCGCAGGAGGCGCAGGATTCCCTGAAGGCGCTGGAAAGGCTGGCGGCCGCCCAGGCTTGGCGACGCGAACAAGGGGGTAGGTTGAGAGGGGCGGCCTTCTAAGACAGCGCGTGGAGCTTCTGAGCAAGCAGGTGCCTCCCTGGGAGCCCTCCCAGCTTCCATGAAGTCATCCTGGAAGCCTCCCGGCCTCTCTCTAAGAAGGCCCTTGCATCCTTCGAACCCCCCCCCAGCGGCCTTAGGGCCCCCCCCTCCCCGCGCCCCCCCCTCCTGCGCGCCGCCAACAGGCCAAGTCAAGGTCTACCGACGTCTCCGCTCGCGAGGCGGCCTGCGAGGAGCTGGCCGCGTGCGCGCGCGAGGGCAGCGCGGCCGCGGACGGGGCCCTCCTGCTGCTGGCGGAGGTCGCCCGTGGGGACTCGGACGAGTGCATCCGCGAGAAGGCGACGAAGGCCCCGCCCGTCTGTTTTGCGAGCGGCGTGGCCCCGATCGCCGTGCATTCGAAACGCAGCTCGTGGGCGAACCCGCGGCAAAGGTGGCACAGCTTTCCTTATGATGTTCCAACCTACTGTAGCCTCGATCACCAGAAAGAATTTCGAGCACCAAAAAAAACTGCCGAAACTCGAGGGTTTCCACGTTTCGGACACTCTTTCGACACTCTTTCGACACTCTTTCGACACTTTCCCGGGTGGTCGAAATTGTTTACGGAATGTGGTCCTCCTTGAGTGCGATGGGAGCAACATGAGCTTCTCCCTGAAGGTGCTTGGGTCCAGGGCATTTCTTTTCGGATGGCAATCTGCCCCCCGTGCCATGCTCGAAGGGGGCCGGCGCACTTCCGCTCGGGCGAGGCTTCGGCAGAGTGTCCTTCCGGGTGGAGGAGTTGCGCTTCGCGCGTGCCCACTCGAGGAAAGGTCGCCCCCCGTCACAGGTTCCTCGATGCCGGACGGGGTCCGCAGACCCCAGTTTTTTCTAGTAAGGAGGAGGAGGAGGAGGAGGAGGAGGAGGAGGAGGAGGAGGAGGAGGGGGAGGAGGAGGAGGACGAGGAGGAGGAGGACGAGGAGGACGAGGAGGACGAGGAGGAGGAGGAGAACGGGGTCCGCAGACCCCAGAGTGCGGAGCGTTTTGCGCAGAGTCTTCACTAAATCGCGAAGCCCAGAGGGCGTATACGTCCTACATCATACGAACGGATGTTGACTTTTTGTGTGCCGACTCTGGGATGGCGCGTCCTGCGCGCAGACTTCTCGAGGATGTCTCGAGCGAAACGCATGTTCTGCAGCGCTTGAAAGGCCTGGACGTTTCGGGATGCCCAAGTGGTTCTGGGAGCGCGGTCGCATTATCATTCGCAAGGGATCCTGGCCCTGGAAACGCGGACGCAGCGTGATTTACTGAGGATCCTGGCCGTGCGGAGGCGGACGCAGCGCAATTTACAAGGGATTTTGGCTGTGGGAGCGCGGACGCAGCGTGACTTACGAGGGATCGTGGCGCTTGGGGGGGCGGATGCCGCGTGATTCGCAAAAGGATCGTGGCCCCGAGAGCGCGGACGCATATAATTTACAAAGGATCGTGGCCCTGGGAGCGCGGACGCATTCTAATTCACAAGGGATCCTGGCCGTGGGAGCGCGGGCGCAGTGCAATTTTCAAGAGATCCTAGCCCCGGGAGCTCGGATGCTGCGTAATTCGCGAGGGATCGTGGCCCGGGAAACGCGAACGCAGTACCAAGGATTTTGACCCTGGGAGCGCGGACGCAGCGTATTTTCGAGGGGTCATTGGTTTCGAAGCGTGGATGCCGCGTCCGAAAAATATTGTTTGATGCTCTGGAGAGGGGGGGGGGGGGCTTTTGGGCAACCAGCGGCGGAAGCTGGCGGGGGCGAAGGCGGCAATGGTTGGAAATTCGGGGCCAGGAGCCCGAGCAGGCAGACACTAACGAGCGCACGCGGGCTCCCGAACCTCGCTGGCCACGGCCGAGCAGGACTGCACATTCCCCAAGCCGCAGAAGCTGGACCGGCGCCGGCGCGGGGCACCTCGGCGCACCGAGCCCGCCAAGGAGTGCGCGGTCATGAACCGCGAGCAGATCAAGAATGGCGATGCCCTCGAGCTGGGCGCGGTGCGCGCGCTGCTCGGCGAGATCGACGAGCGCTCGGGCGCCCCCGAGACCGTCGCGGCGGTCGAGCCCGCGGCGGCCGTCGCCCGGGCGCGAGAGGGCCAGGGCGAGGACGAACCCGCCGTTCAGCAGCAGCAGGAGCAGAAGAGCTGGGCCGAGGGAGTCGAGAAGTCCGGGCACCTGCTGATCGCTGTGCACTCCGAGGCCCCCGCGCACCACGCCTGCCAGGCGTCCGCGCGGGGGCGGGCGCGGCCGTCGATCGCCGCGACGCCTTCCAGCAGCCGCCCGAGGGCGCCAAGCAGACCGCCGCGAGGGCCCTCTGCAAGCTCGGCGCCCCAGGCCCTGGCGAGGGACGCCCTGCGAGCAGCAGCGATGCGTTCCAAGTGGATGGCTGGCCCTGCGGGCGCTGGGCGACGAGGTCGGTCGAGCGCGCCGCGTGCGAGATCCGAGGCGAGGGCCGCCAATTTCCCGTCGGCATCAGCCGGGCGCGCGCTCGAGGCAACGAGTGGGTCCAGAAGCCCCAGGGCGCGAGCGACAACCGCTCTGCCAAGGCCATGGCCAAGAGTAGTGGCAAGGCCCGGCCGCCGCAGAGCCCGACCGCGCTAGAGCCCAAACGCAAGACCTTCGATGGCGCTCGAGCCGCTGCGCAGGCTTGCGCGCAGTGTTTGCCCAGCAAGGACGGCGCCGACGGGCGCCGAGCCTGCGTGGGCGACTGGTTGTTCGCGAGAGAGGTGTCCCGGCGAGGAGCGCCAAGGACCTCCAGAGCGCAGGCGAGTTTTAGGTGCCAGATCTCGCCGAGGACCATCAGAGCGAGGATCTAGAGAAACGCCCAGGATAATCATCATCATCATCATCATCATCATCATCATCATCATCATCCCCATCATCATCAGCATCGTTTTCATCATCAGCATCATCATCCGCGTCATCGTCATCATCGCCATCACCGTCAGCATCATCGTCCGATCAGCAAGGAAGCGTTTGTTTAGGACCCCCTTGGGCCCCGAACTTGATGATCTCCAAGGATTTAGTATCAGGGAAGTGCGAACTCAGAACAGTATTGCTTTCCCGGAAAGGGCTTGAGCCCAGGGTTTCCTTTGAGATGGTTAACCCCCGGGTTTGACTTGAGATGGGCCGGCGAATTTGTTTTACGATAAATATCGAGGTCGAGGTGGGCTTGCGAATGGAAATTTGAGGATGTCTCGAGCGCAACGCTTATTTTTTATAATTCGTTGGGGATGTCTCGAGCGAGACGCTGGTTTTGCAGAGTTTGGGGGTGTCTCGGGCGGGGGCCTCGTGGGGGGCCAGAGTCCAGAGGATGTCTCAAGCGAAATGCTTGTTTTCACGTCCCACGCGTAGGAATCCCGAGGATGTCTCGCGCGTGCCGCTTCCAGCGCGCAGGAATTTCGAGGATGTCTCGACTAATTCCTTTGTTTTTCCCGGAAAGGGCGTGGGCCCAGGGTTCTCTTTTAGTAGGTAAACCTGTCCCCCGGTGCCAACTTGAGGGAGGCCGGCGAATTTTTTCCCTGATAAATAACGAGGTCGAAGGAGGCCGGCGAATTAAAATTTGAGGATGTCTCGAGCGAAACGCTTGTTTTTGAAATCCCGATCGATAAATCACAGGGTGCGGGCCACTTTTTCGTGTGTTGAGGATGTCTCGAGCGAAACGCTTGCTCCGCAGAGTTTGCCGAGGATGTCTCGAGCGAAACGCTTGTTTTGCAGAGCCGACCGCGACGCGGAAAAGCGCCCCGCGCGAAGGAATTTCGATGATGTCTCGACTAATTCCTTTGTTTTTGTACGATTTCCTGGAATTTTGGCAGGATGTCTCGAGCGAAATGCACGACCCCACCCTAGCACGACCACAGCACGACCACACCCCAGCACGACCCCACCCCAGCACGACCCCACCCCAGCACGACCACACCCCAGCACGACCACACCCCAGCACGACCACACCCCAGCACGACCACACCCCAGCACGACCACACCCCCAGCACGACCACACCCCAGCACGACCACCACAGCCGACCACCCCCACACGACCACGCCCCATCACGACACCCCAGCACGACCCGCCCCAGCACGCACGACCACCCCCCACACGACCACCCCACCACCGCACGACCACACCCCAGCACGACCACTCCCCAGCACGACCAGCACGACCACTACCACGAGCAAGACCACACCCCAGCACGACCACACCCCAGCACGACCTCACCACAGCACGACCACCCCCAGCACGACCACGCCCCAGCACGACCCGCCCCAGCACGACCACGCCGCACGACCCCCCCAGCACGACCACACCCAAGCACGACCACTCCCCAGCACGACCACCACCCCAGCACGACCCCACACACCCAGCACGACCACACCCCAGCACGACCCCAGCACGACCACCACAGCACGACCACCCCAGCACCCACGCACGACCACGCCCCAGCACGACCACGCCCCAGCACGACCACCCCCGCAGCACGACCACCTCCCAGCACGACCACGCCCCAGCACGACCACCCCCCCAGCACGACCACCCCCCAGCACGACCACACCCCAGCACGACCACTCCCCAGCACGACCACGCCGCCTTGGTTGAGTGGTTGCCTGTCGTCGTGGAATGTTTCGTGGGGTGTCTCGTGGAATGTTTCGCGGGGTGTCTCGTGGAATGTTTCGTGAGGTGTCTCGTGGAATGTTTCGTGAGGTGTCTCGTGGGCTGTTTCGTGAGGTGTCTCGTGGGATGTTTCGTGAGGTGTTGCCCAGTTGGGTATCATGAAAACGTGTCCATGCTCCACATGTCTATATCCCTTTCCGGGTTCGTGGGTCCATCATGTTCCAAGATTTCTTTGGCCACACAGGGGGGTATCGAACATGTTATGCCCGAGCTGGAACCACGTCGCTTCACGTGTCCAGGGCACCTAAGTGGGTATCTAACATGGTGGTCCCGAGTTGGTACCACGTTTTCCCGTGTCCAGGCCACACAGGTGGGTATCTAACATGGTGGTCCCGCGCTGGAACCACGTGTTTTCACGTGTACAGGCCACCCAGGTGAGTATCTAACATGTTGGTCCCGAGCTGGAACCACGTGTTTCAATTGTCGAGGCCACCCATGGGGGTGTCTAAGATGGTGGTCCCGCGCTGGAGCCACGTGTTTTCAGGTGCCCCGGTCGCCCTGAGGGTGTATCTAACATGGTGGCCCCACGCTGGAACCGTTTGTTTTCACTTGTCCACGTCACCCAGAGGGGGTATATAACATGGTGGTCCTGAGCTGGAACTGCTGGTTTTTACGTGTCCAAGGCAGGTCGAGCTTAAGATCCATATCAGTTCGGTCAGGATTCGGATGCAAAGGAG